ATTTGAGTCTCTCATAAGCCCTTTCTTCTCTCTTGACATGCTATTTCCTAAAGAGGACTGGTTACACGGGAACTGAAACTTGAAACATATTTGTTTTATCATTTTCATAGTAGGTTCAAATAGATCAAAGAGCTTAACGATGGCATGCTTTGATCTGCTGAACATAACTTGGAAAGGACTATCAATAAATATAAACCCAAAGGTACCGATTAAGCAAGAAAACAAACTTATTGTCATGGAATCAATTCCAACTCATAGAGACCTTCTGGGACGGACAAGACCTCTCCCTGTGCTTGTCCGAGGCAGTACAGCTTTACGGGAGCAGAAATCGTCATCTTTCTTCGGAGGAGCTGCCGGTGGTTTCCAACTGCTGACCTTGCCGTTAGCAAGCCAACACATCCCCTGGTAGGCCACCAGGGAAGTTTGAGCGAGTTGGTTATTCATTTGTGATTATTTGGATGAATGATTTAATAATGCCTAATTACATATTACATTAGGCAAAGATGCCATAAAAGACTTACTTATAGTCTTAAAGAGGTATATGAATTATATCTCAATACAATTATATCTCAATACATACAAACAAACAAAAAATGAGACAAACCTAAAAAAGACAAAACTGTTAAAAAGCAAAAGTGTCACTTTGTGAACTAACGTATGCTTGACTCCAGCCATGGTATTTTCAATAGCCTCATATGAATTTTTTTGGACCAAGAGACAGTTGTGGGAACAGAACAACATAATATTGTATGGTTTAAAATCAGGAAAGTTGTGCCATAGGGTTGTATCCTCTCACCATACTTATTCCGTCTGCATGCTGAGCAAATCATCAGAGAAGTTAGATTATATAACAAAGAATATGGCATCAGGACAGAAGGAAGACTTACTGAAAACATGTGATATGCAGACTTCACAACTTTGCTTGCCGAAAGCAAAAAGAGGTCTTGAAGCACGTGCTGACAAGATTACAGCCTTCAAGATGGGTTACAACTCCATGTGAAAACACCCAAATCCTCACAACTGCACCAATCCATGACATCAGAAAAACAGAGAAAAGCTTGCAGTTGTCAAGGATTTTATCTTGTTAGGATCCACAATCAATGCTTATACAAGAAGCAGTCAAGAGATCAAACGATGGGTTCCATTAGGTAAATCTGCTGCATAAGACATCTTCAGACTATTGAAAAACCAAGGATATTACTTTGAGGAGTAAGAGATGCCTGACTCAAGCTATGATGGTTTCAATTTCTTCATATGCACGTGAAAGTTGAACACTGAATGGGGAAGACGGAGGCATTTGCTTTGTGTGGCTGGCAAAGACTACTGAAAATGAGCAAATCAGAGTGCAGTGTAGTAACGATGAAATATGCAATTTTCCTCTAGTTCTTAAATGCTTCCTCCCCGACACTACCATGATCCCAATTCTACCTTACATATCCGGCTGGACCGGAGGATGTACACTGGCACAGACAGGAACTGGAAATACAGTGAACCCGGGACAGATGAACCCCCCAGGACCAGTGGAGAGCGTGGCGATGGTGGGAGGGTGGAGGGAAGGTGAGGGAGAAAGGGGGAACAGATGACACGGTCTACATATGGCCTGCTCCCTGGGGGATGGACAGTGGAGAAGTGGGTGAGGGAGATGTTGGATGAGGTAAGATATGATAAAATAACAATAATTTATAAATTATCAAGGGTTCAGGGGGAGGGGGGAGCAGGAAGGGAGGGGGAAAAATGAGCTGACACCAAGGGCTCAAGTGGAAAGCGGGTGTTGTGAGAATGATGACGTCAACATATGTACTAATGTGCTGGACAAAAATGACATATGTACAGATTGTGATGAGTTGTATGAGCCCCTAATAAAATGATTATTTAATAAAAAAAGAGTTGTATGAGCCCCCAATAAAATGATTTTTAAAAACTGAACACAAACTGATGTTTGAAAATGTAAAATTTCCCACTTGATTCAAAATATAAATGATATTTAAAAGACTGTAGAGACTTTGATGGCCTGACAGTAAGCATAGACTGAATTAAGAATGACTTTGATAAAACATTAAAATATTAGCTTAAAACAGGAAAAAAAGGAAAACAAAATGCCATGGCTTGCTGAAAGGACAAATCGATCTGTCTTGGAAGAAGTACGGCCAGGGGGCTCCTGAGAAGAAAGGTGGGAAAGACTTCATCTTACAGTCTTTGGCCATGTTGTCAGTCCCTGGAGAGGGACGTCATCTTTGGTAAAATGGAGGAGCCGTGAAAAGGAAGAGGCCTTCCAGGAGATGGACCGACACCCCCCATGGCTGCAGCAATGGGCTCCAGCATAGGAAGAATGGGCTCCGAATCCTTAGCAGGATGGTGCATGAGGCGGCAGTGTTTTGTTCTGTGGCACCTAGGCATCAGAACCGACTCACTGACCCTGAACGTGTGCATTTGAAACTGGACACAGAATAAGGAAGACCCGAGAAGAATTGATGCGTTTGAATGATAACGTTTGTGAAGAAGAAGGAAAGTGTCAAGGACTTCCAAAAACCGACCAAACAAAAAAATCTCTCTGGAAAGAAATACATTGCTCCGTAGGAGCCGGGATTATGAGAGCTCATCTCACATACTCTGGGCAAAGTGTCAGGAGAGACCAGCTTCTTCAAAAGGACATTTCGTCTGCTCAAGGTGAGGTCGGTGAAAGAGAGGAAGACCCTAATGAGATGGAGTGCTCTGGTGGCTGCAAGACACCTCACACCAACAACAATGTTGTTTGAAGTGTGTCCTTATCTCTTTTGTATTAGGCATGGACATCATAACCTATATTTCTATTGATGAAAACTTTTTGAAATTTGTAGTCTTGTAGCATTTCGCACACACACAAATACTTTTAAGAATGATAGTGTTATAATTTATTCACGTTCAATAAAAGAGACACTGCTCACACGCAGTCTGGCAAGTGGAGATGCTGACTATGTTGCGGTGCCAAGTGGTTATGTTCAGGTAAAACCCTTGGCCCTTGTACGTCTACCCTACTGAACCCTGGTAATAACTCACTGTCTGGGACATCCCTGTGACTTGTTAAGCAGAGTCAATGCACATACCCTTGTTCAGTAGCATAAATGTGAATATTCTTTGAGAAGCCAGATCTATGGATCATTTTAGTGATAAATGATTTTGTCACAGGTTTAGACATACTCGTGCCACCCTGAACAGAAGTCCATTTACCAAATGTCATTGCTCATAAAGTAGAAAGCCAGAAGGAATTCTAGAGCAAACCTTGAACAGATCTCTTGTCACATGTAACTTTGAAGTTTTGCTAGCACAGCTACCTAATTTACAGGAAGCACTCAGCAGTCAGCAGTGCTTTACAGTATTATTTGTTGAATCATTCAAACACTGCATGGGAGTCTATGTGAAGTTACTGATCAAGCCAGATGCCTTTAAATTGCAAGGTATACAATATACAATGCTGTCCTTAAAGCATGTAAAATTCTAAATTATATTTCACTCCAACATCTTTATTTTCCTTAAAAATTTTTTTTTTAGATTTGGGGCAAGGATAAGTAAACTCACTAGAAAGTTAATATGCATTATGCTCATAAATCAAGAGTATGGCCTAAGCAGGCATTTTAATGCCTGCATATGTGTGTGTGCCTCTGTAACTATTTGTATTCTTCTGTGTATCTATGGCCCTGTGTGTGTATGTCTGTGCATGTGGGTTTGTGCGTGCATGTGTGTATATGGGCTCTTCTGTGAGAAATAAAAATGTGGTCGCATATGGAAACAGGGTCGAATCTTAGTGAATTACTTACTAACCAGTATTTTCAAATAACAATGTGGAGTCTCTTGAATATCAACAACTAGTGGAAAACCCAGTCAAGAACTACTTAAATTCTTCAGCTCTGACCTGAACTTACATTATGTAGTATGTTCTGAAAACAACATGGCACAGTTTTTAACTCTAAGACTCACCAATAGGGTGTATCTGGAGATAATTGGAAAACACAGACACGATTATTCAAGAGGATGGTGAAGACTGAAGCAAAGGTTGTGTCCACGTGTGAGGCAGAAAGGGAAGAAGGGGGAAAGAGCAAAGGTGATGATGTGTGTGTCCTTTGTGTACAGACACACAGACAATGACGGCAAGTGAGTTCGTGTGGAAGATACTCAGGCCAGGTAGGGCAGGATGATTGTGGTTAACATTATTGTCATCTAGTCATTGCCATTCCCAGGCTTACTTATAAGTATTTTTTAAGGTGTCAGCTGTTGTTAATTTTAATGACTATAATTTTGTAAACGATTTGAATGATTTTTAAACAATAGGTGGATAGTATTATTTCTTGATTCATAAACTGTCAAGAATAATTATTTGTATTTAACTTATTAGATGTATAATCTTTCTTGCCCACTTTGTTTTAAAGTAGACATATTTACTTTAGGACTTTTTTTTTTACTTATGTCTTACTTTTAAATAATGTTCAATTTTAAGTTACACAATTCAAGTTACAGAAAAACACCTTGTGACCAGTTTTCCAATACCTTTCATCAGGTCAACTCAGCAGCTGCACTTCACCTTCCTTCCACCACTGGTTCCCCACTTTTGATGGAAGAAACAGGTCTGCTTTTGTTTAACTCACTGCCATTATGTCGACTTTAACCCACAGTGACCTTATAGGGCAGAATTGTACCCTGTGGGTTTCAGAGGTTAAAACTGTCTTCAGGAGCAGAAAGCCTGTCAACTTTCTTTCTTTGTCCTGCAGAGCTGCTGTTGGTCCTGAACTGTGGACCTGGAAGTTAGCAGCCCAACTGTGAAGCACTAAGACGTCTACTGATTTCCACACTCTTTTGACCCTGAAATCTGTGCCTCCCACTTGCAGCAACTGGAAAATCAAATGCTCTAATATCACATGAGAATTTATCTTAGACATGACAATCATGCAGGGTCTAAGGCCGCTTTTTGCACAGGTTTATATGCTTTCGAGAAAGAAATGGTGCTCTATGACCTCTGTCTACAGTACCTGTAACCTTCAGCTTCTCAGCCCCAATGGTGATCTCATCTTCATCTGCAGAAAACAGCACCCTGCCACCTTCACTCCCTCGCACTTCAAATCGCTTACACTGAGCTTCCACAGCGTCAGCTCCTAAGGCCAAAGAAAAAAAGTGAAATGAAATTTGTACAGAGGAAATGTTTAATTCATCTATTTTTAGAAAAAGGAGAAACAGATTATTCATTGATCTGTGCAGTATGGCTTGCAGTTCAAAAAACACTTTTTAAAAAAGTAAATCTTTCTTTAGGAGGTGTTCTGACTTGATGGAGCGTTGTTGCACTAGGGTACCAACACAGGCATGACATCTAAATCTCTGAGTTGATGGTAATAAGGACTGTGGTTTTATCCAGTTAACAATTGTGTTCTTCTTTTCTGTGTAGCCGATACACTTAGCAACATGCCTGACACTTGCTGGCTGCCTGATAAATATTTGAGGATTGAGTGACACGCATGGTTCTGAATAGCACATAAAGATGCCCCTGCAGGCTATGTGATAGGCCATTTGTAAAGCACAATGCCATTGCAAACCTTTCTTTACTCCCATTAATTCTAATATTGATATGCTTTCACCTTTTAATAATTCTGAAATACAATCCATTGTATAATCAATCTCAAAGAAAATTGTTTTATTATTAGTGTCCCCTAAGGTATTGACACTCAATGATTTTTTCACTTACTAAAATGCAATCTTAAATAAAGGCAATGATGAATCAGCTTCCAATTATTAGCCCTTTACGTTTACTATTCCATTCATAAACCCACAAAGCCAACCTTAAACTTTGGAAAAACTAACACAGTTCTGGTAGGAAGGGCCTCAGCAGGAAGATCGAACTGGCCCTTAAAGATGAGTAATAATTGAGAAAGGGGGAAATAGGGTGGTGGAATGCCAGGGCAGAATTGACATTTCTAGAACACCAATTTCTTTTTTTAGTATAATACTGAAAGAAAGATTGGAGATAAAGGGGTTGTCTCTACCAAATGCCTACACTAAGTTAAAATTAGTTGTCCAGGCCACAATTAAGGGGTTGCAAAGAAATCAGGCACCCATTAGGCACCTAGGGGGAGAATCCCAAACTAAGCATGCTCACACCCAAGTTCATCTAGGCCCAGGTGATCAACCTCGGCACACCCACACAAGGCACCAGCGAGATTACATCACACATGTGCTCTTGAACTCAGCCACTAAGTGTAGCCTACCATGCCCCACCCCTCCCCCAGCCAGTGGGGACAGGTGGCATAGGTAGCAGACTGAGGGCCAGCCAAGCCCCTCTCCTGGGTTGGAGGGCGGGATCTCTCCTGTGCGCCCAGTGTGCAAGCCTGCGAGCTCTCTTGGGGCTCACTCTCTCTCCATCTCTCGGTTCCAGGACTCCTCCTTGGCTCTGTGGACCCCACTTTCTGGCCATTTTCCACATGGTTTTTTGTGCTCCAATGTAAAGGCCATTTTTCAGTCATGAACTCTTGTGTGATCCTCCGTGCACATGTACTTTCTGAGTCAGTAATACCTGAAATCGCCCTTTCTCTCATAAAAGTCACTTGTCTTTACAAACAAGTGCTTCAGCTGTGTGATTTCTTTCAGCATTGAGAAGCAAGAACCAAGGTAACACCAACCCAGGAGCCTACAAATACCACTGGTAATGCATGGCTGGGCTGACTTCATCTTGTCATATGCTAACCCCACGCAAACATCCCTCTGAGTTGATGACTAGTGAACACCCAGTCCTGTCAGCTATTTTTGGAATATAGAACAAGAGGTCATGTCCATCATGTGACACCCATGTAACAAACGAACAATAAAAACAACAGCAGAAACTCACTGCCATCATGTGGATTCTGACTCACAGCGACTCATAAACAGTAGACCAGCCCCTGTGGGTTCCTAAGACTGTAACTCTTCATGGGAGTGGAAAGCCTAGTATTTCTCCCCCCATGCGACAAAGAAATTAATCAATTCTCTAATGCCAAACTCACCATCAGTGGAGCAGAAAAGAGTATATGGAGACAGCCTATCTGAAGCAATCACACAACTGGAGATAGTAGAAACATAAGGAAATTCCTAAAATTCTACAAATACCTACCCTCTGTCCAAGACCCCTGTAAATCCTTCCTCTCTACCCTGACCCCTTTCCGGCAGAGGGGAAGAATTTGGAGGACCCTTGGTTCATCTCCTGTATTTCCATATACATTAAAACTTGTTTCCCCACACCCCAATCGTACAGTGACTATTTTGCAGCAAGCCGCTCCCAAACCATCTGCATTAAAAAATACATTTAGCATATGGATCTAATACCTTACTGTTAGCTAGTCAGCAGAATGGCAATGGGGAGAAGAGGGGGGAAGTGGGAGGAAACTGGCAGAAATCTTTAAACACAAAATAGGAGGTAGACAGGCTCCCTTACACACCTCTCCAGCAAGAAGGAAGGTGAACAGCCGGATAGAACACATTTTCTTATCAAGGAAGAGACCAGATATTGGAGATAATGAAAGCTTCAGAGGGGGAAAAAAGGACAGGATTTTTCACACAATCCTCACAATGCCTGAATAGGCCCCTGAGCTTTGGGGCTGAGACAAGAGCTCAGCATGAAGTCTGGGGTCCTGGGTAGATAGAGGAGGGCCAGAGTATGCATACTTGAAAGGAGGGAGGGCGAGCACTGCAGAGCACCAGCCAATAGCTTAAGACCCACCAGAGAGCCAGTCTTTGGTGGGAAGTCCACCATTAGCCAATATAAGGCCCAGCATTACATTTTCCTGGGCCTATTTGTTACTAGCTAAGAGCTTTTTGGACTTCTCCCAAGTACCCCCTTCAATAAAATCACTATGTCTGTTCAAACCTTTTCTCTGACTCTTGTGTGAATTTTATCCCTTGCCGGAAATCTTTCTTAACAGTGGGACAAGAGCAGAGGAGTAGAGAGGCTTGGGACTTTGAGCCTCCTCCTAGTAACATCCTTCTGCCCAAAGTATTAACTATACCAGAAATAGTTGTCATGTACACTCCAGCTCTATCAGTTACCTAAACATATCACAGTCGGCGCATATTTATGTTTATTTATTTTTATGTGATATAATTATTGCTGCCAAAACAAGGAGTCTGGGAGGCCTGACACTGTTTTAATCAAAGGTAGAAATTGGGTTGATTCAATAAATTATAAGTTTATTTTTGCAAGTGCTGACAGAAGGTAACATTATGGTTTCTACGTCCAAATGATTTCAAAACTTAGTAAAATTTCTACATGTTATATGCCCCAAACTGTGGCAGGTTGGAGTGCGACTAATGGACAAGTTTTGCAACAGGTCCAGAAGATAAAAAACAGGTTTTACAATGATCAGAGGATCTTCAAACAATGGGAACCAAGGGGCATGGTTCATAGGAAACTGTCTATATTTCCCCAAGCAATTATCAAAGCATTAATTGATATACTCACTCCTACAGGGAATGTCAGACCAGTACCCACCTGGTATCAGCCTAGATGCATGAACCTGCTTCCCCTTTTATGAATTACGACATCCTGGCTGACTATGTTTCAGAGATGGTTTTGTTTACTATAAGGGAGGCCACTCTTACAGCCTAGGTCCCTTTTAGCAAACTAAATGTCCAGAAAGCAAATCCCACACTGTGTTACATTTCCAGTGTCTGCCTAACTCTTTGCCCCTCTCTATCACAATGGTTAGATGGATGGACATTAGGCATTAAACACTGGAGATTACCTTTGCATTCCAAAATATTCCCAAAATTTTAAATAGTGACTAATTTATAGAAGGCATTTGGCAGATACAGGTTAAAGAGGTTAATGATTACTCAGTTCTATTTCTTATTATAGCCCATTGTCATCATCATCATCAATTACAGCAGCTGAGGAACAATATGCAAAAGGTAAAAAAAAAAGGACCAAATATTTTAAATGCATAGGATAATTTCTTTGAAAAAAATCACATTTTCTTATATTCTGATAGCACAATATAAGATTTCATCCCACTTAAAAAATGCAAAACAACAGACTAGGCCTATGCTAAGTAATATAAACTAGTGGTAATCTTACGGGACATTATTGTGTAAATTGTCTTTAAAATATTAATGTGCTTTCTTGCTTTAAAAGCTATTGTTTATGGAATTTAATGACATCACACACACTATTATTGAGTTGATGCTGACTCATAGCGACCGTACAAGAAAAAGTAGAGCTACCACTGTGGGTTTCTCAGACAATATGCATGAGAAAATTCCCTGTGAGTAAAAGCCCTGTCTTTCTCCCAAGGAGAGGCTGATAGTTCTTATCTTCTGACCTTGCAATTAGCAGCCCAACTTGTAGGCACTGTTCCACCAGGGCTGGGGCCTTATGAGTCAGAATTGACTCAAGGGGACACAGCAACAATAGGAACGGGGAAAGCATGGAAGATCTATTGTCTTTGGTCACAATCATTGCATTTTATCTTGCAAACAGTACATTAAAAGCTAGTATCCATTTGTGTATAGATTTTACCTCATGTGCTTTGGACAAGTCAGGAGAGACCAGGCCCTGGAGAAGGAAATCATGCTTGGTAAAGTAGTGGGGCAATAAAAGAACTGGGAGACCTTCAGCAAGATGGATTCACCCAGTGCCTGCATTGGTGCCCTCAAATAACAATGGTTTGGATAACACCGGGCCTAGAATGTCACATTTTGTTGCTCGTAAGGCTGCTATGAGCTAGAACGGGTGACATCTAACAACAGTTGAGTGTTGTTTTTCTTTCTAATCATTCTTAACCTTCTTATAACCTAATTCGTAAGCTTTGAATCATAGAAACCCATTTTGGACATAGATCTATTTCCCCATTCTCATATATATGTTTGCATATGTACATGTTTTATCTAGACCTATAATCTATGTGCATATATTTATAGGTATAGTATTAAGGTAACCGAAGGACATTGGGCCTCTGCTCAAGTACTCCCTCAATGCAAAAATACTTTCTTCTATTAATTTGGCATTGTATGATGCTCACCTTCCCAACACAACCGCTGAAGACAAAGCGGGTGAATAAGAAAATGTGGTGAAGAAAGCTGATGGTACCTGGCTATCAAAAGACATAGCATCTGGGGTCTTAAAGGCTTGAAGGTA